TAAGTAAACAGATCAGGTGTAGCGGGCAAACACGGGTGTAGCGATAGAGCGGTTTAGTTTACGATTCTATTCAAATCAAACAGGCTATTGCGCCTAAGTAAATCCCTCGTATCGGCCGGCTGTCTTATGACGGGAGACACAACAAGTAGGTGCGAAGCCTTTAAAGCCCAAACAAGCTTTCTTCGTTCGCACCTTTTAGCCTCTGTTACAGAAGTGGAAGGAGCTGCTTTCAGGTTACTACTATAAAGAGGTAGTTTGCTCTCTTGCTAGAGTAGGTATACGCGGATTCGGGTTGCCTAAGTAGATAGAAGGCATGAACTAGTGATTCCTTGCGATCTTGTCTTCCTACTATAGAAGGATCAGCGCACGGATCAGGGTTTCTGACTCGCGGAAATAGGCTAATGCTATGCCTAAAGAGAAGTAAGCATTGATGAATGTGTTTGAATCAATGCCTTGAGATTACTTACTTTCTTGTAAGAGCAGGTTTAAGCTTATACGCAGTAGCTAAGCGCTAAGAAACTATTGGCTATATGCTTAACACATGCAAGTCGGACTATGTTTTCGATCAATCTGGTTCACCTCTCTAATTACGTAGATTAGTGTCTTGTTTTCTGCTCTTCTAGTAAGAAAGGTGATCCTCCGCCCAATATAGCCTAGCCCGAGAGACGAGTTCTCCAGTGTGGACCGAATGGTCTCGCGAAGCCGGTCCCCGGATGGTGTAAGTCCTTTTCTAACTTGAAGAGCAGCAAACCAGACTTCCCTATTATATTATATAGAGAATCTGGGGAGAGAAAGTCATTTTATAAAAGAAATTTTCACTAAGAAAGCAGTCTACTCATGTACTCTAGCTTCGCTAATGAGATAAGGTAGTTGGCTTACTTGCTTGTTAGAGGACAGGTAGTTTACTACTTGCTGTTGTTAGAGAGAAGGGGATGCTTGTGTATAGATGGAACTAAGAGCTTAGGGTGAAGAGGTGGGACTAGACAAACAGCCAGCCATTAGCCCTCTGTAACTGGAGTATGGAAGTGGAACCCCTTTAGAGATAGGGGGCTAGTCTGCTCTGCTCTCATCCAGCAAGCTCTCTACACTAGCTAGCGCTAACCTATCTTTAACCTATCTGTCCTCTTCGCTACCTCTCAACAGTAAACTAGTCGCTTAGCTTTCTAACAAAGCAAGTAGCTAGCGCATCTCTTCCCTCTTCGAGCCAACCGTTCACTTCCTCTAACGAGCGAGTAAACTTCGTTCACCACTGACTACGTTCTTTCAGAACCTTAGATTCCTGAAAGCAAATTATGGAATAGCGCTAGCTAACAAGTAACGAGTGAATGTTGCGTAAGTGAACGGAATGCTGTTGGCATGTTCGAGCTAAGCAAGCAAGCAAGTAAACTACTTCTCTTCGTTGCGTAGGCGAAGTGAGTTGGCTGTTTCGAGCTAGGCTAAGCGAGCCAGAAGTGAGCCAAGCTGGAGTTCTTGTTCGAGTGAGCCGGTAAGCAAGCAGGTACGCCCGAGTTATGTAATAGAACTACTAATCAGTCTTCTCATCTCTAAGCCAGCTAATTCCTAACAGCTACGCACCTTCTTGCTTGTACTTCCAGCCAAGTAAGGCAACGCAGTTGCTGTTGTTGAGTTAAACAAACGGTAGTCAGATAATAGGCGGATGGAGGGCCTATTCTGGACCAATTAGAAACCATAATCCCGATGCGCTGACATTGTTATGAATGAGTTTATGTCTTAAGAGAACTAGTAGTTATGAGTTCGTAGCTAAAGTCAAACTGGAGCTAGGAACGTAGCAGTGAACGCAGTGAACGGAGCTACCGGGTAAACGAGTGAGCTTAGCTCGTAGCCGGGTAGGGAACTGTTGTTGCAGTAGTTGCTTAGGCCGGGTAAACGCAGTAGTTGCTTAGGAAAGGTAGTTTACTTGCTTACTTGTTAGAGTAAGGCAGCTCAGCTGTAGCTAACTTGCTTGCTAAAGGTAGCGCTAGCTAAGTAAGGTTTGCTGCTGCTAAGGGAAACTTGAGCTACGAACTTAGGAAACAAGCCAGCTAGTCGCTTAGCGGAGCTCGTTCTATGGACAAGCTTGAGTTAGGCATCGAGTGAAGAGCAAACAAGAAGCCCAGACTGTTGCCCGGCTGACAACCTGGCTTTGAATAGGAACGAGATGAAGAGAGGTAGCTCGCAAGAGGGCGAAAAGCGAGCCAGAAGAAAGCCTTATAATCAAATAATCAAATAATCAAATAATCAAATAATCAAATAATCAAATAATCAAATAATCAAAAAAGAAAGAAAGAAAGGCGGTTTGAGCCCTGAGTTCTTGTTCGTAGCTAAAGCAAAACGGGAGCTAAACCAGGGCCGCTATTCTGAAAGAATAGAGTCAAGGCTACGCAGTATAAGCTAGTCTCTAACAAGAAGCAAACTACCTTATTTACTAGCGAAGCTAGCTATAATACCTTTTTGCTTTAGACACATGGCCTCTGAAAGAGGCACCCTAATATGGGACGAGCGTACACGGGCCATGTAGCTAAGCGGGCTAGGCAACGGCATACGAGTTAGCGTCTCCAATAGCTATCCTATTGCAATCATTTATTTCTGCAGGAGATAAAGCTTCAGGATAACACCTGAATCAACGGCTTACAGGACTATGGAATACTGGGCGTCACTGCTATATGTTGTTGCTGATAGCATTGCTGCTTCTTCAGGTGCCTTTGCCCTCGTTGCCTCTCGTACTCACCCCCTTCCCACTACCGCTGCTTTTGGTGCTGCTAGCTCCGCCCGTTCAACCGGCCGGATCTACTGAATCAACAGAGTCGACTAGATCGAGATCAACATTATGTTCCCTCTAACGATCAAAAATTCATAATCCTTCCCATCCATGGTAATACCAAAAGAAAACGGGTAAGAACTCAAATCTACAACATAATGCCCATACTACTTAGGTCGCTACTTATGCCCGTACGTACCAGGTGGTTATACCTATAACGACTAACTGCCTTTCACGACAGATACAGCTGATCCACGTTTAGAGCGAGCGGCAGATCGAACAGACCCTTCTTTCTAGTCATGAGCCCCCCAACAGTGAGTTTGTCGTTGATCCAGTAGTTCCAGTAGCACGACGAGCAGTTCCAGGAGCAGCAGTTTGAAAGGATCTCAAACTGCTGCTCCTGAACTGCTCGTCGTGCTACTGAACTACTGGATCAACGACACTCACTGTTGGGGGGCTATGACTAGAAAGAAGGGTCTGTTCGATCTGCCGCTCGCTCTAACGTGGATCAGCTGTATCTGTCGTGAAAGGCATTTAGTCGTTATAGGTATAACCACCTGGTACGTACGGGCATAAGTAGCGACCTAAGTAGTATGGGCATTATGTTGTAGATTTGAGTTCTTACCCGTTTTTCTTTTGGTATTACCATGGATGGGAAGGATTATGAATTTTTTGATCGTTAGAGGGAACATAATGTTGATCTCGATCTAGTCGACTCTGTTGATTCAGTAGATCCGGCCGGTTGAACGGGCGGAGCTAGCAGCACCAAAAGCAGCGGTAGTGGGAAGGGGTGAGTACGAGAGGCAACGAGGGCAAAGGCACCTGAAGAAGCAGCAATGCTATCAGCAACAACATATAGCAGTGACGCCCAGTATTCCATAGTCCTGTAAGCCGTTGATTCAGGTGTTTATCCTGAAGCTTTATCTCCTGCAGAAATAAATGATGCAATAGGATAGCTATTGGGAGACGCTAACTCGTATGCCGTTGCCTAGCCCGCTTAGCTACATGGCCCGTGTATCGCTCGTCCCATATTAGGGTGCCTCTTTCAGAGGCCATGTGTCTAAAGCAAAAAGGTATTATAGCTAGCTTCGCTAGTAAATAAGGTAGTTTTGCTTCTTGTTAGAGACTAGCTTATACTGCGTAGCCTTGACTCTATTCTTTCAGAATAGCGGCCCTGGTTTAGCTCCCGTTTTGCTTTAGCTACGAACAAGAACTCAGGGCTCAAACCGCCTTTCTTTCTTTCTTTTTTGATTATTTGATTATTTGATTATTTGATTATTTGATTATTTGATTATTTGATTATTTGATTATAAGGCTTTCTTCTGGCTCGCTTTTCGCCCTCTTGCGAGCTACCTCTCTTCATCTCGTTCCTATTCAAAGCCAGGTTGTCAGCCGGGCAACAGTCTGGGCTTCTTGTTTGCTCTTCACTCGATGCCTAACTCAAGCTTGTCCATAGAACGAGCTCCGCTAAGCGACTAGCTGGCTTGTTTCCTAAGTTCGTAGCTCAAGTTTCCCTTAGCAGCAGCAAACCTTACTTAGCTAGCGCTACCTTTAGCAAGCAAGTTAGCTACAGCTGAGCTGCCTTACTCTAACAAGTAAGCAAGTAAACTACCTTTCCTAAGCAACTACTGCGTTTACCCGGCCTAAGCAACTACTGCAACAACAGTTCCCTACCCGGCTACGAGCTAAGCTCACTCGTTTACCCGGTAGCTCCGTTCACTGCGTTCACTGCTACGTTCCTAGCTCCAGTTTGACTTTAGCTACGAACTCATAACTACTAGTTCTCTTAAGACATAAACTCATTCATAACAATGTCAGCGCATCGGGATTATGGTTTCTAATTGGTCCAGAATAGGCCCTCCATCCGCCTATTATCTGACTACCGTTTGTTTAACTCAACAACAGCAACTGCGTTGCCTTACTTGGCTGGAAGTACAAGCAAGAAGGTGCGTAGCTTGTTAGGAATTAGCTGGCTTAGAGATGAGAAGACTGATTAGTAGTTCTATTACATAACTCGGGCGTACCTGCTTGCTTACCCGGCTCACTCGAACAAGAACTCCAGCTTGGCTCACTTCTGGCTCGCTTAGCCCTAGCTCGAAACAGCCAACTCACTTCGCCTACGCAACGAAGAGAAGTAGTTTACTTGCTTGCTTGCTTAGCTCGAACATGCCAACAGCATTCCGTTCACTTACGCAACATTCACTCGTTTACTTGTTAGCTAGCGCTATTCCATAATTTGCTTTCAGGGAATCTAAGGTTCTGAAAGAACGTAGTCAGTGGTGAACGAAGTTTACTCGCTCGTTAGAGGAAGTGAACGGTTGGCTCGAAGAGGGAAGAGATGCGCTAGCTACTTGCTTTGTTAGAAAGCTAAGCGACTAGTTTACTGTTGAGAGGTAGCGAAGAGGACAGATAGGTTAAAGATAGGTTAGCGCTAGCTAGTGTTAGAGAGCTTGCTGGATGAGAGCAGAGCAGACTAGCCCCCTATCTCTAAAGGGGTTCCACTTCCATACTCCAGTTTACAGAGGGCTAATGGCTGGCTTGTTTGTCTAGTCCCACCTCTTCACCCTAAGCTCTTAGTTCCATCTATACACAAGCATCCCCTTCTCTCTAACAACAGCAAGTAGTAAACTACCTGTCCTCTAACAAGCAAGTAAGCCAACTACCTTATCTCATTAGCGAAGCTAGAGTACATGAGTAGACTGCTTTCTTAGTGAAAATTTTCTTTTATAAAATGACTTTCTCTCCCCAGATTTCTCTATATAATATAATAGGGAAGTCTGGTTTGCTGCTCTTCAAGTTAGAAAAGGACTTACACCATCCGGGGACCGGCTTCGCGAGACCATTTCGGTCCACACTGGAGAACTCGTCTCTCGGGCTAGGCTATATTGGGCGGAGGATCACCTTTCTTTACTAGAAGAGCAGAAACAAGACACTAATCTACGTAATTAGAGAGGTGAACCAGATTGATCGAAAACATAGTCCGACTTGCATGTGTTAAGCATATAGCCAATAGTTTCTTAGCGCTTAGCTACTGCGTATAAGCTTAAACCTGCTCTTACAAGAAAGTAAGTAATCTCAAGGCATTGATTCAAACACATTCATCCAATGCTTACTTTCTTTTAGGCATAGCATTAGCCTATTTCCGCGAGTCAGAAACCCTGATCCGTGCGCTGATCCTTCTATAGTAGGAAGACAAGATCGCAAGGGAATCACTAGTTCCATGCCTTCTATCTACTTAGGCACCCGAATCCGCGTATACCTACTCTAGCAAGAGAGCAAACTACCTCTTTATAGTAGTAACCTGAAAGCAGCTCCTTCCACTTCTGTAACAGAGGCTAAAAGGTGCGAACGAAGAAAGCTTGTTTGGGCTTTTAAAGGCTTCGCACCTACTTGTTGTGTCTCCCGTCATAAGACAGCCGGCCGATACGAGGGATTTACTTAGGCGCAATAGCCTGTTTGATTTGAATAGAATCGTAAACTAAACCGCTCTATCGCTACACCCGTGTTTGCCCGCTACACCTGATCTGTTTACTTACTTACTCTTACTTAGCTAACGCTA